ATCATCGGTCGCCTCTCCCACGGTGATTGGATGCAGCGACGAGTCAACCGACGCTGCACGGCGGGAGTATGTACGAGACGACCGCTTGACGACCGAAGCGAGAGAAAATGAACTTACGACGATACGAGAACAATGTATAAAAATGTATCTATAATTTCACATGAATTAGTTGTATACGCATTAAAAATATCATTCCCTTGTTGTCTTATTAGAATGAGTCGGATATCGCAACAATAGATAGCTCTGCCCATAGTAAACCATTGTAAAATTGATAGTTCAGAGCGATATTCCGCCCCGTTCTCTCCAATAATCTTATAAGACTTTATCTAAACGATCGCCACGACGCCAAGCGGTGGCGCGGGGAAACTAGTCAGAATACTGATAGTTCCGACCTATAGGAGGGACGGAGACAATAGGTTGTCCTTGTCACACGTCTTATAGGATTTTGCCTGAGTTGACAATTTTCGATAATAGTATGTTTTATGTTTTGATTGATTTATTTTATGTCTTATTAGATAGTAGGTAGTTATAGGAATAATATATCGAAGTTTTGTATGAATCGTGTTAGTAGTTTAAGCGTAATTAAGGAAAATATCGGGAATAGTTTTTTATAAATAGTCAATAGGATATAGGTATAATTGTTATAATAATGATGTCATTTTATGTGTTTTTACTTCTTCTTTAAAATGGTGTATGATAGTTAAACATTAAGCGAGTATAAGTAGGTTTTTTAAGACTTTTTAATTTGTAAACTTTATAGGGCCGTAGAGCTGTTGTTTATTAATATTCTTGTAAGAAACTTGTTGCATCATATAGGTAACACGTAGGGCTACGTAAATAAATAGGTATCGCATCAATAGGTGTAAAAATGTACTGTGTAGAAGAAAAAACATGTTTGTATAGAACCGTTTTCTGAGACATGTCGCGCTCCCCACCCGGCGCGCCCGGAGCGCGCGGGTGGGGCAGCGAAGCCCCGTGGCAGGGCGAAGCCCTATGGAGGGGGAAAGTATAAATATTGCGGAGACCTATTTTTTGCGCGCCACACCTAAAATATCGTGTTTACGGACACATAACTATGTTAAAAATATGCCCAAATGTATGCCCGATGTATGTACAATTAGTTTTAAGCTCGCACTATTGTAAATTTTGAGAAAATGAAAAATAAAGTATAGCGTGGGTGAGGTAATGGATCGCTGGCCAGCTCAGTCCTAGCATATAAAATTCGAGTCGGAACATGCCCCGACATGCATTCAGCGACAGGCGCTCCTACCCTAAGGAACAGGAAGAAACAACCAAGCGGTTCACTCTGGACCTGAAGCCTCCTCTCACCGGCCATCCATTATCAGCGCCCACCGATTTCTTCAATACCGAACACCAGGGGTTTTATTCGCCGAAACTACAGTCCACTACAGTCAAGACTCCTGCGTGTAACTTCCTCCACCCCCTCAGTACGAGTCGGTAACTGTCCGCTACTGCGACAGCCCGGCGTCCCGTACAACATCGAAACGTTGATCAAAACAGCTTCACGCAAACTCGGAGTCCTGAACAAGGTGCGGCGTTTTTTCACGCCTGATCAACTGTGCTTGTTGTACAAAACACAAGTGCGGTCCTGCGTGGAATATTGCTCGCACCTCTGGGATGGCTCCGCAAAGTACTTACTCGATGCCTTGGATAGGTTGCAGCGGCGCGCTGCACGCATCATTGGCGATGAAGAGGCAACTAAGAAACTCGAGTCTCTACAATTACGCCGTGATGTGGCATCATTAAGCGCATTCTACCGAATATACCACGGCGAGTGTTCTGAGGAGCTATTCTTGCTTATCCCTCCATCACCTTTTCTTCAGAGGACCACGCGCGCTGGCCTACGTTGCCATCGACTTACTGTGGCCACTATTCCTACACGAACAAAGAAATTTGGCGACTCATTTCTTTGTCGTACTATTCGTAAGTGGAATTCTTTACCCGCGCACGTGTTCCCTCCTTCCTATAATCTGGGGTCCTTTAAGAGAGGCGTGAAGAAGCATTTTTGCGGGCCGGCAAGGTGAGGATGGTTGGTGTAGCAGTTAATAACTGCTGTACCAGCTATCTTCGCGTTTGGACTTTATCACCACTTAACATCAGGTGGGGTAGAGTCATTTGCCTACCTAGTAATATAAAAAAAAAAAAAAAAAAACTTATGTACCTACCTACATAAATGTTGATGCATGATCAACAATATATTAAGTGTACATAGGTCCATGCACGAATTTTGAGGTCTCAGTACCCCTAGTACGATTTTCGAATTCGAATAGTTTGCAAATAGAAAAGTCAATGACAAATTTTGTATGGAAACTTGAACAGCAGCGGCACAAAGTACGTAACGAGAACTAAAAATCAGTACACATTTGACAATGAAAATTTGGACTCCCAAACGATACGAATTCGATATTGGTTCGTGCTAGGGGTACTGTAAACGTATCTCATCGTCAAAATTTCTATGAAAACTAGAAACAGCGCCTCTACAGGACGTAAGAATAAACTGGCTTCTTCGATACAAAATTTGACAATACGATTACGGAGCTGCCAGAACTCGTAATTGGGCCTAGGTTGCCTATACATATATCCTTCCAATGATGTTTAAATAGGCAGGTTATACACCAACATTATTGCATTTTAAAAAGGCACAAGTGGCCGCCCCTAAGTCGGTTGACAAGCGACTTAGGAGCGCAAGAGCGGATCCAGAGAGGAGTCATGACCCCCCCCCCCCCCCTGCCCCCCTAGCATGAATAACAAAACGCGATATGATAAAGCGATTTATCGACACTAACTGTCTGTTTTGTTAGTCATGCTAGGGGGGCTGGGTTGGGTCCATCTGTACCCACTGTGTATGTATATGACCCCCCCCCCCTGGCGCCAAAGCTGGATCTGCCCTTGTAGGGGCGGTCACTTGTGCCATTTTAAAATGCAATAATGTTGGCGTACAACCTGCCTATATAGCGCACTAAAGTAGTCTCTTTCCCTCTCATCCATAAAGCAGATTACATCTCGCTCTTTAGCCTCCATGTGTCAACGCGGCAACGGTGTCAGCAACTGACAAATTAAGTAATCACAATGTACTTTCACATTAATTACTTTAAAACTTACGAATCAAATGACACGTTTTTCTTGTTTATTATATCTAATTGTGTTTATTATAGTCTTCGTGTAATTTGCGTACTTTCGTATTGCCAAATTAGACACGTGTATGACGTATAATATGACTATAAAACATTTATCCTACTAATTATAAATGTGAAAGTTTCTTAAGGTATTATTCCGTGCATCGCGATCGATTGCGCGCACGACTGTCGTTCAAGAGAAAGACAAGCAACCCAAAACAGCACAATATCGTCGTTTGTTCTTTGCCATATTAAATTATGTAGGTATCTACTTAATTCAATCAAATATTTACAATACAAATCGCACGTTTAACCACGGCTAACTACATAAAAACAATTCACACCGTTCGGTCGTCGCTGCGGCGCATTCGCGACTGGGTGTCCCCCGAGAGTCCCGCGAATTCGAGTGGCGTAGGTATGATTCGCTTTCCGACCGTTTGTATGAAGATAGAATACTGTATATAATATTACCGTGGTCGTCGGCCGCGCGCGTCTGTTGCCGGCCTCGGAAGCGGTGCCATACATTTTCATACTATAACTATTGTCGCGAGCGACCGACGCGACGCCAGTTGTAGGCCGCGAACGATCGCGATGCACGGAATAGTACCTTTATGTAGGTACTCAATCACGCAAAAACTACTGAACGGATTTGGATTTTATGATCTGGATTGAGACAGAGTACTTTTATCCCAAAAAATGTTAGGTTCCTGTAGGATTTAAAAAAAAAGTAATATGTAGAGTATTAAATAAGTCAAATAACATCCATGTTTAATGAGAGAGTGAAGTCTTTATATGAGACGGGTCGTCACAACCTACTGTGTTGCCTGATTTTATTAAAACAGTTGTATGTAGTACTCTTAGACTAAAACAAAAAGGGAAGTTACAGCAATCGCGGCTTAAAAGTGTACCGCTTTAATTGTGGTGCATGAACACAATTCGCTTTAATCATAATCTGACATCCAAACACGCATGTGCACTCAATATAACATTATTGCGTATGTTCTGTGTTATGAAGATAAAGCTGGGTGCGTTTAGCCGACAAAAAGGCTAAGCAGCATTAAAAAGAAAAATCGCGTAATCTTTGTCGCGCAGGTGTGGGAGAAGCATAAGGGAGGCACATTATATCTTAAGATCCTTCTATTAACTTTGAACTTATAGCATATTATGAAAAGCAGTAAGAAAGAAATCTTACGAAAACTCCAAGTAGCAATTAGGTTTGGAAAATATTATTAGAAAAAGATCCACGAGGTCCAGGCATAGGATGGAATTCTAATCCACGCTTTGTAACGACTACCGTCCAGGCTATTACTGAACAGAAGGCAGATGGAACGCACGGAATACGCAACTGTGGCCGTCAAAGCAAATACGAAGTCAAAAGCGAATACAAATAGTTAATATTAATATAGTGAATATTAAGTTTGTATCAAAACTGTGCTGCATTGTTCAAACATTGTAAAAACTGTTTACAAACACTAAAAAAGGTTTTACTCTAGCTTAGAGTAAACACGCTACCGTCTTCAACGTTTTCTCGTCAATCAATCGCCATTAATAAATTCAGGACATAGTAAGCAAAGTTGGTAATTAAATACCAAACAGGGTTAAAAACACTATAAACCAGTCGTCATCGTATTAATTATTCGTATTATTTATTGACATCAGGATAGGTATTAAGAACATTAATTTTCTCTGTGATTTTAACAGTTTTGAGAGTCTACATTTGTGATTTTTTCCTTTGACCTAGATTTATATTTATTTATAGGCTGTAGATAACGGGTGTCTTCGCTTCTCCAACTAGATTATAGATTATGACATTCAAATGTCACAGCGATAAATTGTTGAAATGTCAAAATCAGTTGGTCATTGTTCCGCAAGCTTGTCTTGTTGTCTTTGTTGAGTGCTTTATCAATTTGATAAAATTCACACCTTTAAATTAACACATAGATGAAGTAATCCTGTATCAGTCGAAATGGCTACCATCGCGGACCTGCGGAGCGCGTTCGAAGCGAAGTTAAAGGAAGGAATACCCAATCCACCGGGCGAATTTCATCCTTTGGACCTCGAGCGGGCTAGAAATGATAACTACCTTCAAAGGGTGTTGAATCATTCGGAAAATGACCTGAAAGCGGCCACCGATATGTTGTGGGACATCCTAATGTGGCGTAAAACAGTAGGTGCGAATGATATTAACGAATCGAACATTCGAATGGAGTATGCGAAGGACGGTGTAGTATTCCCGCACGGAAGAGACGTCGAAGGCAGCCTAATCTTCATAATAAAGTCGAAACAGCATGTCAAAGGCCAAAAGGACTTTGAGGAAATAAAAAAGCTTTTCATCTATTGGCTCGACAGAATAGAGAGGGAAGAAAACGGCAATAAAATAACTCTATTCTTCGACATGGAAGGCTGCGGACTCAGTAACATGGACATGGATCTAATAAAGTATGTAATCAACTTGTTTAAGTTTTACTATCCATATTTTTTGAATTACATTGTTATTTACCAAATGCCCTGGGTGTTGAATGCCGCGTTTAAGATAGTCAAGTCGCTTTTGCCCGCCAAAGCAGTTGAAAGAATGAGGTTTGCAAATAAAGATACTTTGAAAAGTGTTGTGGCTCCAGAACAGGCTCTAGTGTGTTGGGGAGGCAAGGATCCATACGTATTTGAATTCATACCAGAAAATAGAGGCAGTTCTGAGCACACACCAAAGAAGGTTACTTTTGCTGAGCAAGGTGACAACCAGCACTCACCAGGTGAAATGCTACGATTAGTACCAAACGATACAATCTTATTCAAAAATGAAAATGATGAACTGTCCAGTCAATTCACCATCACTAATATGGATGAAGGTTCAATTTCCTTTAAAATACGCACTACTTCACCGGAGAAGTTCCGTGTGAGGCCCAGCTCTGGTACTCTGGCTAGCGGTCAATCGCAATCTGTTGTGATTGTAGTGCAGCCTGGCTTCCAATTACGCACAGTAACTAAAGATAGGTTCCTTGTGATGTCTGTGCAAATCCCAAAGACAGATTTATCAAGCAAGGAGTTAGCTGAAGTGTGGCAAAATTCTACTGGCAGCAAAGTGGACGAGTATCGACTGAAATGCCAGTTCCCTGACAAAGAACTATCGAAAAATGGTAATATTGATGGTAGAATGACAGAGAAGCCAGATACAATAACCAACGCTTTGAATAATTTGCAACAAAATTATGAGAGTCTGCATAATGATATGCGAAAGTTGAGACAATTGCATTTCCTAACTCTTTTTTTGACAGCCGCTGCAGTGATTTTAGGCTATCTTGTGTACAAAAATTCGAGTGTGGAAGGAAGTTACTGTGAACGAATCTAGCCCTTAATAATAGTGGTATTAGATACCACTTTGAACATTAACGATGTGCTGAATATATTCCTTTTCATTATTTTGTTGTTCAACACAGCACTGTACGTTAAATATTGCCAATTAGTTCGTAAAGTGGAAATGCTACATGTAACTGAATAGGTAGATTTGTTGCATTATAGGAAACCCTAATTTTTAAACATCACAATGAATTCATTCCAAATATTAGTATTTAGTGTATGTATATAGAAACATTCCTGCATGTTTTATTTTAGCTCTCTTGGTGTGTGAAATATTCGACAAGCATGTTCTCTACTTAAATACTCATTTTTTTTCATATTGATACAAACCAGGGTTCAATAATAAATATAAATACTTGTTATACACCATGAAGTTTGAGTACTTAAGTTAACAAATGTTATATTTCAGCAAAAAATATCTTTTTTTTATTTCTTAATTTTTTTCGAAAAGTTACTGCACATATCTCCTTTATTGTTCAATTATGAAAACTAACAATTATAAATTTCATAAATTGATTCAAATAAATCTATTTGTAGGATCTGCATACTTTAAAAGGCCATTAATTGGATAACAGGTTAGTTATTAAAAAATTTGCTCTGGTTTAGGATATTTTGTAAGCTATATAAATCAACAGATTTGTATGGGGGTATGTACGTTTACTGTTTATAACTATTACAATTTTTAATTAACTTTATCAGGTAACTCAAATTACACGGTGTATATCAACCACTGTGTCGGGTTTAGTCAGTATCCTGGTACAAAGTCAGGTTAAACCCACCAAAAAGTATCTCAAAGTGAAGATTTTCTTTTAATTTTAAAGTTGCTGGATAGCAATGCAGTTCAATATACCCAAAATAGCAATTCATAATTCATATACCCAAAAATGTATATTCTATTAAGTAGTAAAAACTTTTCTACAAGGTTTAATAATCATAAATTTATCATTTCCCATTATCAGTGTTTCATGGCCACAGCCCTTTAACTGCTCTCTTGTGACCTTAAACACATTTATCAGCCTGTGGAACAATATTTCATTAGTTAAAGGTCGTCATAAAGTTGAAACTCCTTTGATAAAAAAAGCTTGGCTTTCTATAGTGTGGTGGTTGTAGTTAGATATTTTTATTACTATCAGAGAGTGCCTTTCTCACTATCGCTTATGTCAAAATCTCACACTATGTGTATAATTAGGTAGTAGTGTGTGTGATTACAATAAAAAAAGCACATATTTTGCCACATGAAAATTTCTTGTTACGCTTAATAAATGTTGAATTTAATTTTCGCGAAAATCCTAGGGATTTTGTGAAAACGCGGATAATTAGACACTGGCGATGACATTGATCAATTTTATCTATATATTTTGATTCGCCTGCTTGTGGCGCTTTCGCTACGCTCGCTCGGCTCGTAATATATGTCGTAGGATAATTTAAGTTTTCGCGAAAATTCTAGGGATTTTGCGAAAACGCGGATAATTAGACACTGGCTATGAAATTTAAGTACAAAGACAATTTAAGATTGTTAAACAATCTTACTGTAACTGTTAGTGAAAATTTTTCTGACGACTCGTGGCACGCTTGGTACGTTCGCTTTTTCTCGCGCGTCATGGTCATAACACTGACTATAATCATCCGCTTTTCGCAAAAAGCTTAGGATTTTCGCGAAAATTCTACTTACCAACTCAACTTACGATATACTTAGATAAAGTTTTTAATATATCAAAATTCTGCAATTGATTCTGAACATTGTACCCAATTGCTTAGGTTGACAATCAATTGTAGAATCTTATTAACTACCTACTGTTTTTAAGAGTTGCTGAATGTACATACTGTGTAGTAAAGAAATTGATCCAAATACAAGTACAGAAAGACACATCAAGCAGCTTCTTAACAAGTAACCACAATAAGTAAATTTTTCTCAACCGAACCTGTAGCTATAATCTCATGTCAGGCAGTACAAAGCGGGGTTGGGGACATTTTACTGTTTTTGGTAACATGATTTGTGTCTATAAGTGTAAATAGTAATTAAAAAAAAAAAATTTTTATCGTTTTTTATGTCACATGTGTTTGCTACACAAGCAGGCAACACCTTTATTGTATTTAATTTATAAAAATAAAGTTCCAAGCTGTATGGGCATTGCTCCCCTTGCCTTCCTAGAAAAGGGAGAACTTAACAATACAATAAAAATAAGGTTCCAAGTTCATAATAATAAAGAATCAGGAATAGACGAAGACGTGGCTTAAAGGACCAGCATCCAAGCCGTAAAATTATTAAAAGAAAAGGTTTCAAGTTTTTTTATTATTATTTTGAATGTACACTACTGCAGTACTGGCAGCATTACTGTAAGGTTTTCAAGTGAAATTTTTATAACATCGCGACAAATTTTTCAGGTCGCATTGCATTTTTAATTGTTATTAAAAAAATCAGACCTGCCACCTCGGGTTCGATTCCAAGTCGAGGAAATGACTTTTTCTTTATTTTCCACTTTTTATAAAGCAACCTTTACATTGAATACTTTTCCGATGTTTTTTGTAAAATCGGTAACGATCCGATCCGATTCGATAAAAAAAAATTAGCGATGTAAATCACTTTTAAATTTGAAAAGTTTCACTTGCACCTTGTTTTTATAAAATCACACCTATTTTTTCTATTTCTCAAGTTTAAATACATCTCATGTTTCATAATAAGTTAATAATAAAATAAAATAGCCACTCCAAATCATAGGAATCTTTACTTGTGATAAAGAAATAAGGTATTTCATTATTGGTTCTTAGATTTTATGATTTCGATGAATGAGTTATGTATAGAAAATTATAATAAATCCTAAGCTTTAAAACTTTATTTGTTACAATAAAAAAAATACTTCCTGTTTGACTTAATTTAAAATTATGGATTTATTCTTATTATAAAACTGAACATGAACATTGCATTAAGTTTTCTCACATTTGAGACGCATTTTATTTACAAACTTATAAATTAATAAATAATAATTAGCTATAGGTCTTAACTGTATCTACACACATCAAAAGTGTCTAGGGATCAACATATATTTTTGCAATAACTTTTCTCCTGATTGATATTAATTAAAATTTTCTTTAAGGATTCATCAAATAAAGTGTTTTCGTTTGTCACAGTAACGATAAACCAAGTCACCTTTGCATTAATAAAGAAATTTGCCATTTTCCTAATAAAGGGATTTTTGACATTTGAACCACTAACACAAAAGTTCGAAAAAAAGACTGAAATAACAGTTTTCTCTAAAATTTTATTGGGTAACTTAAACAATTAATAATCCGTATTTCTACCGCGAACACTAACAACACAAGAACATCGGTTTGGCATACTCAAAATGAGTTCATCCAAATCACGCTGTGGAATGGCCGCCCATGTTCGTTGCAACAACAAAAAAAGGTCTTCTTGCGACTGGATACCCTCCATATTCGGCAGAGCTCTTCTCTGTAGCATATCCCATGAATGCTCAATCGGGTTCAAGTCTGGCGACTGAGCAGGCCAGGGCAGGACATTGATGTTAGCTGCGGCGAGAGTCTGTCTTACAACTCTTGCGGTGTGCGGTCGTGCATTATCATGCATTAACTGAAATAAGGGACCGATTTGCACTTGTAGAGGAACGATGACGTCTGATACAATCGTCTCAGCATAAATTTGAGCGTTGAGGTTGCCTCTGATCCAAATCAACTCAGTTCTTCCGCCGATCCAAATACCCGCCCATACCATGATGGTTCCACCACTATAAGGATGGACTTCCTGGCAGGATTTTAATCGCTGTTGGCGTCCAGGGGTTCTCCAGTGTCGTATACGTCTTGTATCCGGTCTCATACCAAAACGAGACTCATCAGAAAAGCACACGAAACGCCATTGTTCTTCTGCCCAATTTCTGTGTTCAAGAGCCCATTGATATCGAATCCTACGATTGTGCATTGCTATAGGTGGTACCCGTAGCGGTCTTCGGGAATGAAGGTTCACTTCATGCAAGCGGTTTCTGACTGTTTGGTCGCTAATTAAGTTCCCTGAAGAGTGATGAAGCCTCACGGCTAACATCATGGCGGTTATTGTTGGAGCTCTTCGAGTTAAGATTTGAATGTATCGGTCTTGTCTCCGTGTGGTGCAGCGATACCGTCCTCCATGGCGCTCAGCCACGGTACCAGTGCTTCGGTATCGTGTCCAAAGTCGACTGATAACACTCTGACTTGTATTCAGAGCTAAAGCCACAGTACGTTGCCGGGAACCAGCTTCTATCATTCCCACGGCTCTGAGCATTTCTTCCCTGCTTAAATGACGTCGCCGCTCCATAATAACGTTGGTTTTAATCAGTAGTAGGGAAACAGTAGCACTAATAATGTCTTCAATGCGTTGTATGTTTTTATAGGGAAAATATTGACAGCTGATTTTAATCTTTTACTCGAATTTGATTCACAGTTCCTGATTCAAATTATGAAATGCACCAAAAAGGATCCATATAAATTTATAAAATCATAAATTTATTACAAAGCCACATCTCAATCTCAAGAAATCCGCATAAAAATGCTTGATCCCTAGACACTTTTGATGTGTGTATTTGTGGATCAATTTTTTTGCTAAAGGCTAACAATTCACGGAGCGGTTGTTACCGACACCCGCCGCAGAAGATAATCGGAGTTGTTTTATTTCAAAACTCACGACCGCAGTTTTTGTGCGGTCCCGCAGCAGACGCGTCGCGGGCGCGCGGGCAAAAAGCTCTCCGTGTGTTCTTAGCCTAAATGCAAATTAAAATATAGATAATATGATACTAACATATTGTTAATATTTAAAATTATACTATAATGTGTTTAAATTGCAAGTTGTATAAATTTTGTAGAATAAAGTCATTGTTTTTATATATCTGCCTACATAGAATATTTAATATCAATAATACTATTTATATAAACATGTGTATTTTGGTTTTTAACCTATTAGACAACATTTTTGTTTGTTGAAATGAAATGGGTTGGTTTGTTAGTTGTTTAAAGATTTATATAGTTACAAAAATAAAGCCATTGTGTATAGAAAAATAGCATATTTCATTATTTTATACCAGAAACGTTACTAATTCAATGTCGTTTACAACATTAAAGTTTATTTATAAACTACAATTGCTATTTCTTCATTCAAATGACTTGTTTCATTTGACATTGTGGTGTACTTACAGCCAGAGACTGTTTTACCGGTATTATTTATATATCGGTACTAGCTGTCCCAGCGAATTTCGTACCGCCATAAAAAATAGGGGTTTGTGATAGAAGTGTGAAAATTTAGGGTTGCATGTATTTTTGTATGATGTATCATAGAAAATTATAGAAACAA